CCCCAAAACCCCAAAACCCCAAAACCCCAAAACCCCAAAACCCCGTTTTGATATAATTTTATTGAAAATGAATGAGCAAGAATATGAACATGAACAAACTTCGTATGTAATAATGAGTGAAGTCAAGCAAAAGGAAATACATTTCCAAATGCAAGGTTCCCATTTGGATCCCTTAGAAGAAAGTCCTGCTAATGTGTATCCCATTCCTGCAATGCTTCCAAAGCAGAGTTTCAAGCTCAGCTCTATGGCTGCTGGTAAGGATAAGTTTCTCTCACCTTATAGGTAACTCTCCTCATAAAAGATCTCCGAGAGTGTTAGTTCGGAAACCAATTTCGATCTTGGCCCAGATCAAGAATGTATGCTTCCAATAATCCTGTAGGTGAAAGTTAGCAATGAAAAGGAAGAAAGCCAGAAGACTCCTAAATCGAGTCAGAGCAGAGGAGAGCAGTAGTCACCTCTGAACTAGCTTAAATTTGGAGAATGACTACCTTCCTCATTCGATTGTTTCTCCTCTCGCAGACAGGAAAAGAGTTATTGCTGCTAAGTCAGATCATATTAGGTTTGATTTTTCTTTGAGAAAGGGCAAAAAGGCTTTTGAAAAACAACTCAAGTAAGTCTCGAATCTAGATTCTAGGCAATGACCATTAGAATATATTTACGCCATGATATCAAAATGGTTGAGTACCATATAAGTTCTATTCTTTTGGGCGGCATGTTATAAGGAAGCTGTAAATAAAAAATTATCCTGGAGATATTTAGGAAGCCTAATTTATTGTTCAGTTAGCAAAAATTATTGTCAAAGGTTTTAGATTTCTTGAGTAATAAGTTAAAAGAAACTAAGAGGCTGATGAAGATCATTTATTAGCTTAGTAAATTAACTCTATTTATTTAGATAGAAAGCATTAGGGTTATCAGGAGGCCAAAGCAAGGGTGTACTTTTAGCAATAAGGCACTCATTAATTCAAGGATAAAGTTTAATTCATCTCGAGAACCTTTCTCAAAGCCATATCCAAGGCCTGCTTCACAAGCGATCTAAGGGTTTTCTTCCATGAACTCATCAACTGATTTTTACAGAAGTAAACGGTTTACTTCAAGGTTTGGTTATTGATCATACTTAGCTCAAAAATTCGTGACAAGAGAAAGACTTTGTATAAGACCAATACAGCTATTCTAAATCAATTCATGAAATGTGCAGAGCTCGGAAATCCGATCGATTTGTCCAAGTTCAGTAATAATTTAGATATCATGCTCAAACGTGATAAAAGGTAACTCGAAGTCTCCCTTCTGCTTTAAAGTTATACGGTGTCATAAAATATATCCAAAGAAACACTAAATTTAGTTTGTACCAGATTTGATCCTTAAAATTGGCTTACATTTTATTCTTTCTCTCAAAATAGCCTAATAATTATATATTAAAGTCTTATGACAAAACCCAAAGCTATTAACCTTCCCACTAAGGTCTTTTATCAAATGTAAAATAATGGTCTTACAAAAGGGCTTTCTCTTTGACTCAAATTATCTTATGATTCAATTGGATCTTCTCAAAATGGGGTTTTGGGGTTTTGGGGTTTTGGGG